GAAACACACACACACACACACACACACACACACACACACACACACACATACAAATCAACAGAAAACCTTTTGTGTGTGTGTGTGTTTTTTAAGTTTTGTGTAAACAAGAAAATTTCATTTTTTTTCATTTGCATATATTTTATGCTTAAACTATATGTGGGTAAATCTGTATATAGGTGCCATTTAGCCTAAATGTGGGTGATTTAATTCACAGTACACAGGTAAAGTGTACCTATTAAGGCTATGATTCCGTATATATCTTTGTATATCTGCACGTTAAACTTTTTTCACAAATGTAAGTGCTGAAACCATTAGATTTGCACATATTTTCAACTTGGTGAATATTTGTAGTTTACTATATATATATATATATATTTTTTTATTTATTGTGTAAACAAGAAAATTTCATTTTTTTTCATTTGCATATATTTTATGCTTAAACTATATGTGGGTAAATCTGTATATAGGTGCCATTTAGCCTAAATGTGGGTGATTTAATTCACAGTACACAGGTAAAGTGTACCTATTAAGGCTATGATTCCGTATATATCTTTGTATATCTGCACGTTAAACTTTTTTCACAAATGTAAGTGCTGAAACCATTAGATTTGCACATATTTTCAACTTGGTGAATATTTGTAGTTTACTATATATATATATATATATATTTTTTTATTTTTTTATTTATTTATTTATTTTTTTTTGTTGTTGTTGTTTTTTGTTTGTTTTTTGTTTTAGTTTTTAAAAGTCTCTTGTGGCAAAACTCACCAGGATGTGAAGGGTTAACGGTCTCTTCGCAGTGCATTGTGGGATAGCGAATGATCAGCGATGGCGGCCAGACCAAAGCATCTGAAACTTTTCATTGTAACTTATTTGCATGTAACATTCCTTTTTCTGCACCTATTTATCGACGCTGAAGACGTGACGTGGGATGAAAACGGATACATTCTGTACTGTCCGTGCATGGGTATGAGAGCATGCTGCTTCTGAGACATTTACTCATTAGCTCTTCCACACACTGTCTTCAATGACAGTTAAATGAGGCGTGTAGACCCAAAGCGAGGACTGTAGTGTACAGTTAAAAAGCGTCTGTATTGTCTGTGTTGTATTGGAATAATAAACACGTTTCTCCTATATGTTCTTCTTTAGGTCGGTTTGGAAACCAAGTGGATCATTTTCTTGGATCACTGGCTTTTGCTAAAATGCTGAACCGAACACTCGCGGTTCCGCCGTGGATTGTTTACCGCCATCACTCGCCACCTTTTCAAAATGTAAACACAACACCTGTCACGCATGCCCCATTTCACATCATATGCCCCATTTCATATCATATGCCCCGTACAGGAAATCCAACTTAAGCTGATAGTGTTTTGGAACACGGTAGCTGCCTGGTTTATAACTGGTCCAAACCAGAGTTATTTTAGTATTTATATACTAGTATAGTCTTTATTAATAATTTGGATCGTTTTATTTTTATTTTGTTTTCATTTTAGTTTAAAATGTAATAGTTTTGTTACTTGCTTTTATTATTTTAATATATTTTTATAAATAATATTTCTATTTGGCTTTATTTTTAATTTGCTCATAGTAACTAATACTTCAACATGTTTTATTTCAGTTAGTTGAAAAGGCAGCATTTCTAATTTTCATTTGATTTACCCAAGTTTTTCCATATGCTAATCATATTTTATTTAATTTCAGCTTTGTTTCAATTGTCAAAAATGATTTGTAACTGGGCAAAGTTGGTCATTAGCTGGTCCTAACCAGTGTTACTTTAGTATTATATGAACTATTATAGTATTTATTATTATTTTGAATTAGCTTTTATTTTATATTATTATAGCTTTTATTTTATATGATTTCTTTTATATTGTTAACTTTACGTTTTCATTTTAATTTTAGTTTGTTTTAGTAATTTTGTTATGTGTTTTTGTCATATACACACACACACACACACACACACACACACACACACACACACACACTTCTGTTTAGCTTTAAATTGATTTTAGTTAGTTGCCAAGGCAAGTTGTCTAATTTTCTATTTTTTTTTCTTTAATTTTAGGTGTTTCATCTAATATTTATATTTGATCTAGTAACAGTTTTTTTAATAGTTTTAGTATTTTACACTAGTTTAGTTTAGTTACAATAGCAACATTGGTTCAAACTGATCATTGGCTGGTTCATGTTGGTCATTAGATAGTCCAAACTTATCCCAAGTTGTTCCAAGCTGGAAAACCATCAGCTACCAGCTAGTTTTGAAACATAGTGGCTGATCAAACATCTAATGACTAGCTGTCACACTAGTACATTAAATTGATAAGGTATATGCTTCTTTGTTTTTCTGTAACAGGTGCATGTTCCCTACAGCGAGTATTTCCAGTTGGAGCCAGTGAAGCAGTACCACCGTGTGGTGAGTCTAGAGGACTTCATGGAGCACTTGGCTCCTAAGCACTGGCCCCCTGGTCAGAGAGTGGCCTACTGCTTTGAGTCTGCAGCTCACAGGAGCATAGACAAAAAGAGCTGTCCGATGAAGGTAATATGAGTGTTCGTTCTTCAAGGTGTGCTTCATTTCTGTCTCTTTGCCAGACCTTCACAATCCGAAATTCTCTATGTAGCTGCACATCAAACATTTTTTCTGATCTATTATGCTATGGAAACACTGCCACCTATTGGACTTCTAGCAGATCTGCATTTTGTTTTATTTCTCGAAAGCAGCATGCATTCCTAAATATTCATAACAGTACACTTGTAATGTAGCCTGTCGATTCTGATGCAGGACGGAAATCCATTTGGTCCATTTTGGGATCATATTGGAGTCGACTTTGATCGCTCTGTTCTTTTCGGAGGACTGTCATTCAGCTCCTACTACCAGCCGCACTGGATAAAAAGGTACGTTGAGCTGAAACACTCACATGAATATAAACTATTGCACTCAGACTCCCTCCACCCTACTTTTCTCACTCTCAAACTCGGTTTTTCTCTATTTCTTCAGGTTTCCCCCAAAAGAGCATCCAGTTCTCGCTCTTCCAGGAGCCCCAGCGCAGTTCCCCATTCTAGAGGAGCACATTGGACTGCAGGAGTATGTGGTGTGGTCTGAAAAAATGGCGCAGGAAGGAGAAGACCACATCAGAAGCCTGCTAAACAGACCCTACGTGGGAATTCATCTGAGAATTGGCTCGGATTGGGTGAGCTTTGTGTGTCCTGATGTGAATGGATGGTTTCCCATAGTTCAGATCCAAATGGCAATTTGAAGTGCACTTACAAAATCTTATAATGCCTTTCAATATTTTTTTTTTGAATGAAATTAATACTATGCTAAATACATTTATGTATTTAGCAGACACTTTTATCCAAATAGACTTACAGAAGAGGACCTAACTGTTAAATAAATGTATTAACACTGCATTAAATTGAAGACTTTTATAATGTTACAAAAGATTTATTTAAAATAAATGCTGCTGTTTTGAATTTTGAAAGCTGAAAATGAATAAATAAATTACATTTTAAGACATATCAAAGCAGAAATTTTAAATGTTAAAATGTTTCACAATATATTTACTGTAATTTTCAAATAAATGGAGGTTTGGTGAGCATAAGAGACTTATGAAAAGATTTTATAAGAAAAATCATTAAATATGTACATATATATATATATATATATATATATATATATATATATATACTGTATATTCATTTATTTACATAATCCTTCAGCTGATACATCTTTGTTATCACCTTAAAGTGGAAATGAAGCAGTCAGTCAAGTTTACATTATTTAGGAAAATAACTTCCATTTTAATAAAAAAAATATATAACAAACACGATTAATATAACCATTTTAAAGAAAAAAGGTTGTTTTGTTATAGCTTTTGGAGCAAGGGCGCCGCCATCTTGCAGTACCACCGCGTGTGACGTCACAGGGGTTTTTCGTTCCGTTGGCCAGTTAAAGACGAACTTGAAAGCACTGTTGAGTCCATAATAAGTGTAGTTGCCTATGCATTTGAGCCAATACGGCAATGGGACCGAGCAATATTAGGGGTTGAAGAAGTCGTGAACCTGCTGGTTTGGGGTAAAGTGCGGATCGGAAACAATACTCGTTTACGTGGATACTCCTCAACACTGTCATTCCGACGTGCTTTTGTGTGCATTTGCTGATGAAGGCACGAAAGAAAGCTCAATTTGGTAGCCTACTCATGTGCTGTCCGAGCCCAGCTGTGGCTTTGTGTGTGCGGCACCGCCGGCGCGAACAGAAATGATCTATCACAACGCCTGAGTACCGCATTTAAATCTCTTTCAGAAAAGGTCTATCACAGCGTGTAAATACCGCACTGAAATCTATTCCGTGCTGTCTCACGCTTGAATGGCTTAAACACTTTAATATTTAAACTGACAAGGCTTAAAACACGTGAGATACTGGTGAACCAGTCAGTGTAATGCATATGTCGTAATGACAATAAATTGCGACATGAATGATATTGCATGAAGTGTTGTTTGTTTACGTCACGTTGGGCCTCGCATTATGAAAACAATATGTTTGGGATACCACGATCAAAACTTAGCATATAGACAGTTTGATGTTGAATATTCATGCAAATTATGGTGAAAACCAAATTATTTGTGTGTTAAAATAACCTTTGTGTGTTCAAATGTAAAGAAATGCTTGTATTACTTCACTGGCTATCGGAGCGAACCAACCCCGTGGTTACATTAATCATGTTTGTTATATATTTTTTTTTATCAAAGTGGAAATCACTTAACTAAATAATGTTGACTTAACTGACAGCTTCACTTCCACTTTAAAGCTGCAGTCCGTAACTTTTTTGTGTTCAAAATTTACAAAATGTATATAATAAAAGAGCATAGACATAAACAGAGAAGTAGCTCCGGCTACAATGTTCTTCCACTAGACGCATGCAGTTCTGTTTATTAACTGCTAGAGCGCCAAAAGTTACGGACTGCAGCTTTAAATAGTCTTAGACGCTTTAAATAAATAGATCCAACTGTATATTATATTAAAAATTCCAGTAAATTATATGATCTCATCTTAACATTTGTGCTCTAAAGTTATAACTGAATTATTGTGGATGGTTTTATTGGATTTCTGAAGTACCAGTACAAAATGCAGAATTTTAGGCCTGAACTGGATGATACACATCATCCTTCTAACTATTATTATTATAATTTGTTTTTTACTATTCCACACAGCAAAATGCCTGCAAGCTTCTGAAGTCAGGTGATACCGGTCCTCACTTTATGGCATCTCCACAGTGTGTGGGATATGACCGCCAAACTGCCCTGCCACTGACCATGAACATGTGTTTACCGGATCTGTCTGAGATCCGCCGTGCGGTGAAGCTCTGGGTGAAGAACACCAATGCTCAGTCAGTTTACATAGCCACCGACTCTGAATCGCACACCGCAGAGATTCAGAAGCTCTTCAAGGGCAAGGTGAGGATTAACACTTTAACATTACAGATGTGTAAACTTGATTTAGTTAACAGAAAATAAAGCTGATGACACATTTTGTGCAGGTGAAGGTCGTGAGCTTGCAGCCGGACACTGCTCAGATTGACCTGTATATCCTCGGTCAGGCCGATCACTTCATCGGCAACTGTGTTTCGTCCTTCTCAGCCTTTGTTAAAAGGGAGAGAGATGTTCACGGAAAACCCTCGTCATTCTTTGGGATGGACTACCTAGGAAAAAGGAAAGGAAAAGAGGAACTCTAATAAAGTTACGTTTTTGTAACTGAAAGCTGGTTGAAGGTTTGCATGTTTCAGGTGTCTGGTGAGATTTTCAACAAGAACATTTGGATGTAGGGTTCACGTAATTAAATGAAGGGAGAACAAGAGTTAGTTCCTTAATAATTTCTCTGGATGCTGCATTTCTCCCATGTTGCAACTGCTACATTTACTGTGAGCAACCATGATATCATTGCTATTTTTGTACTGGAACGTTTGTATCGACTGACTTATTTGCATTTTTTGAGGATGGAAAAACTGCACCCTGTGAGGGTTGAGAAATTATACTGGAGTTAGTATAATTGGGAATAGTGGTTGGAAATGGCACTTTTTATAGTTGAAGGCCATTTAAGACCTCCAGAGGCGTCCAGATGTGCAGTGCTCTAGTGATTGCTGAAAATGAACATATGTGAAAAGAATGTATGTCACAGGCTTTCTGATGTCTTAGTAATGCAAGGTGACATTGTTTTTGAAAGTCAGCGTCAAACCAAATTGCAGAAATGTTTTATAAATGTTTTAAGATGTACTTACTAGTAATTTTGTACAACTTTAAAAGACATTCCTCAAGTTTACTATTAAAAATATAACAAGCAGTATTTTGTGTATATGTTTTTATGTTTGTTCTTTGGTTTCGTGATGTATTTAAAAGTACTTTCTTTTAAAATTTAAACCAAAGGAGTATATATGCATTTACAATCTTTGCAAAAAAAAAAAAAAAAAAATGCTATGCATTAATAAATAAATAAATAATAACAATTGAAATGCAATGGTTAATGCACTACAATTCAAAAGGTTGGAGTGGCTACGATTTTTTTAATGTATTTGAAAGAAGTCTCTTATGCTCATCCAGGCTATTTATTTGATATAACTACAGTAAAAACTGTACTACTGTGAAATGTTATTACAATTTAAAATAACTAATTTATATGTTCATTTATTTTAAAATGTAATCTATTCCTGTGATGCAAAGCTGAATTTTCAGCATCATTAGTCTTCACATGATCCTTCAGAAATCATTCTAATATGCTGATTTTCTGCTTAAGAAACATTTCTCAGTATCAGTGTTCAAACAGTTGCGCTGCTTAATTTTTTTGTGGAAACCATAATTTATTTTGAATCAAATTTAGATGAATCAAACGTTTAAAATGGCATTTTTTAAAAATAGAAATGTTTTGTAACACAATGCCTTTGCTATTACCTTTGATACATTTAAAGCATCCCTGCTAAGTAAAAGTATTAATTTCTTAAATAAAAAAGAAAAGAATAAAATACAATATTTATTGTTTTTGTGTATGGAGAACAACTGAGTTTTAAATATCTATTTGTCAGTTTGAAAATGTTATTTACATTTTTATTTTTTGATTAATAAAACTATAAGTCATTCCATAATTTTATTATTAGTGGTACTTTGTTATTATTCTATCGCTGTAATAACAAACATACAAACTACATACAAATCAATAGTGCCCATTTGAAATGGCTTGGAAATGTGCATCTTGAGTCTGGATCGATCCAGCAGCAGCAGATCCATCCCGGCCTGCAGGGGGATCACAGCAACAGCTCTCCTCGCCCTCCCTCTCTCTCCTCACGGGGACAGACATGGCTGACGGAGTTCCTAAGGAGAGAGATACGGGTGATTTTCTATATTTCAGCGCTTAGAGATTTGAGAGCTATGTGCTTCTGACTGATATGAAGGCGACGGTGATCTTCGGCGTAATTTACAGGTGAAGTTGTTCACGAGGGGAGAGGTGAGTTACATTATGTGTGTATTTCTACAGTGTGTGCTCTATTAATGACGGTTTGTTTGCCGTTGCCAGGCCGCTTGTTTTGAGTCTCGGAGGAGCTCCATCCTCATAGATCCGTTTATATATCTTGACAAGCTAATATTAGCAATATTATATTATCGAACTATAAAAATACCATAATTTCAGTTGAAACAACGAAATTTTCAGCAGAACAGACCCGTATTTGACCCTTTAGTCTGTTTATCGCCGTTATCTCTCGCTGTATTACATGACAACTGAGACTGAGATTGACTCAGTTAAACCAGATTTACAGGGATATTTGAGATTAAATGATTTCGGATGGGTTGATGTAAATTAGCTTTGTTGCTACAGCTAATGTAGTAGTTAATAGATTGAGTTTTTTGTGTAAAGTATTGTTATGCTCAGTCTTTGAAAAATTATAATTTGGGAATAACACAAGCTACTTTAGACCTATGTTCTTCTACAAACGTAATATGTAATACCGAGTACAGGTTTGCTTATGAAAATGATTATTTAGTTGTGGCATATAAACGACTCTACATGTCTGTACTTGTAAATGTCTCTAGCAAGGAAGCAAGCAAGCAAATGTATATATATATGTAAAATATAAAACATAAAGCAAAAAGATTAAAAAGAAGGAGCTACATGTCTGTACCTACTTGGCAACCAATTAAAGCATATCTATACTTTGTTTGAATAGTTGTAACACTACAAAAACATAAAGTAAAACATATTGCAATATACTGTTCCACCCAGCTCGTACAAATAACTACTGTGGCAAACGTGATTGTCATATTGCCATTGATTGGTAACTCACATTATTTCTAACCTAAGAAGAAAAAGTTGAACTGTTTTGGTATTCCATCAATACATCAATAGTATGGTGGTATGAGATAAAGAGACAACATTATGATATTCTAAGTCATAATTATGGCATAAGTCGAATTATGAGATATAAAGGTGATTTTAAAATTCTCACAATTTTATTTTTAATTGTTTTTTTGTAAATGTCAGCTTTTTATTTCATAATTATTGTGACATAGTATCTCATAATTATAACTTTGTTTCATAGTTATGAAATAATTCATAAAAATCATCAATAGTATGATGGTATGAGATAAAGAAACAAAATTATGAGATACTAAGTCATTTTATAGTCATATTTAGAGTATTATGAGATAAAAAGGTGATTTAAAAATTCTAAATTTTAACTTGTTTTTGTCAATTTCAACTTTTTATCTCATAATTGTGACATAGTATCTCATAATGATGACTTGGTTTCATAGTTATGAAATAATTCGTAAAAAAAATTGATTTCTGTTTTAATAATTTTAATTTTGATTTACTCATCATGAAAATGGGATTCCGTAAATTTGTTGTAAGCTATACATTTGCTTACTCTATTTTATTGTTTAGCAAATATGTACTTATTCAGTGTTTTTATGAAAAAGGTTACTACAGATTTGCTTGCCAAGATAAATCTAGATAAATATTTTCTGTGTTTGTTTGGTATAACCATAACACAAGTTTTCTCTTGACTTTCTCATGTTTTGCAGGCTGTGATGCTGGCAGCAGCAACACTGTGAAATAAACTACAATCTCATTAGGAGAAGCCAGCAGATACGCCAGAGCCATCAAAATGTCTAAAAGCAAAAGCTCTGAATCCGTTAAAGTAGTGGTGCGTTGTCGCCCCATGAATGAGAAAGAGCGAGCCGCCAATTTCCAGAGGGTGGTCTCAGTGGATGTGAAGTTTGGGCAAGTGGCTGTGCGCAACTCTCGAGGTGCGTCCTCCCATGAGCACCCAAAAGTGTTCACCTTTGATTCCGTCTATGACTGGAATTCAAAGCAGATGGAGCTCTACGATGAGACTTTCCGGCCATTGGTGGACTCTGTACTGTTTGGCTTCAATGGGACCATCTTTGCATACGGCCAGACGGGCACCGGAAAGACTTTCACGATGGAAGGGGTACGAAACGACCCCGACAGAAGGGGTGTCATTCCGAACTCCTTTGAACACATTTTCACACACATCTCCCGCTCTCAGAACCAGCAGTACTTGGTCAGGGCTTCATACTTGGAGATTTATCAAGAAGAGATCAGGGACCTTTTATCGAAAGACCAATCGCGCCGTCTGGAGCTCAAAGAGAGGCCGGATACGGGTGTCTACGTTAAAGACCTCTCTTCATTCGTCACTAAAAGTGTTCGTGAGATTGAGCATGTGATGAATGTGGGGAACCAGAACCGCTCGGTTGGCGCAACTAACATGAACGAGCACAGCTCTCGCTCTCACGCGATCTTCGTCATCACCATTGAGTGCAGTGAGTTGGGTCCTGATGGAGAGAACCACATTCGGGTTGGGAAACTCAACCTTGTTGACCTGGCAGGAAGTGAAAGACAGACCAAAACTGGTGCTCAGGGCGAGCGTTTGAAAGAAGCCACCAAAATCAACCTCTCTTTGTCAGCTTTGGGCAACGTCATCTCAGCGCTGGTGGATGGGAGAAGCACCCACATCCCATACCGTGACTCTAAACTTACAAGACTGCTTCAGGATTCCTTGGGTGGAAATGCCCGTACGGTTATGGTGGCCAACATCGGACCTGCTTCCTACAATTTGGAGGAGACGCTGACCACACTACGCTATGCAAATCGTGCCAAAAACATCAAGAACAAACCCCATGTCAACGAAGACCCCAAGGATGCGCTGCTTCGGGAGTTTCAGGAGGAGATTGCCCGCTTGAAAGAACAGCTGGAGAAAAGGTCTGGCAGGAAGAGGAGAAAAAGGAGGAGAAGGAGGGTTGGAGAAGGTGGAGAGGGGTTAGAAGATGGGGAGGATGATGATGATGAGGAGGAGGAGGAAGAGGATGACGACGACGAAGAGGAAGGAATGGATGCGGATAAGAACATAACGGATTATTGGCGTGAACAACAAGAGAAGCTGGAGAAGGAGAGGAAGGCCATCATGGAGGACCACAGCCTGGTGGCGGAGGAGAAACAGCGACTGCTGAAAGAGAAGGGGAAGAAGATGGACGATCTTCGCAAAGAGAAGGAGGCATCAGAGATGCTGGCGGCCAAAGTTAAGGTTAGAAAGTCCAGATCTCGGGTTAAAATATACTATTATTCAAAAGTTTGGGGTCAGTAGGATTTTTTTTATGTTTATGAAAGAAGTCTCTTTTGCTCAGTCTGTATTTATTTGATCAAAAATGCAATAAAAACAGTCATATTGTGAAACATTTTTGCAAATTAAAATAACTTTTCTATTTGAATATATTATAAAAATGTAATTTATTCCTGTGGTGCCAAGACTAAATTTTCAGAATCATTACTCCAATGTTCAGTGTCACATGATCCTTCAGAAAGCATTTTAATATGCTGATTTGGTGCTAAAGAACATGCTTATTATTTTCAATGTTGAAAACGGTTAATAACCATGATAGTTTGTTTTTTTTAGGAATCTTAGTAATTAGAAAGTAAAAATTTGTTTTAAATAGAACTTTTGTTGTAACATTAAAAATGTCTTACTGTCATTTTGATCAGTTTTCTGTGTCATTTCTGAATAAAAGTATCAGTTTCTTAAAAAAAAAAACCACTCACCCCAAACTTTTTAATGGTAGTAAACAAATGGTAAAACAAATATAGTGAAATTATTGCAAATATACTGTGATGGGGGAAAAAAACATTTGTGTAAAAATGTATTTTTTCTTTTGAAAAAAAAAAAAAAAATTAATATTAAATGTAAAACGTATACTTTTAAAATTGTAAACATTATACAATTTACATGATACATTTAAACATTTAAAACATAAAATTGTAAATATAAAATATA